ACTTAGAATAGGACTAGATCTACTTGGTGCCTATATAAAGGCCCTTCCTCTTGTTATTTTTCATATCAAAGAAATTAATAGAAAATCGAACGTTTGTTCACCAACTCTTGTGTGTGAGTTTACATACAAAATCGTGTAGAAATAGGACCAACATCCGAGTTTCTTCACACCTATCGTGTTAGAAATAGGACCAACATCCGAGTTTCTTCACAACTATCGCGAAGTACGAAGGCGTCGGCGCGCGTATTAGCAACCTATCGCTTCGGGACCAAGGCGTCGGCGCGGGTTTCAAGCAATTCTAGTTGAGGCGGATACACGATCTTCATCATTGGTCCTTTCATTGAGAGTGATTGATCGTGTATCTTATTCATCTTTTTCTTCCTCTTTCAAATTTTCTTTTCTTTGAATTTTTCTTTTCTCTTATTTTTCGTTTAGATTAAAAAAAAATATAAATAAAAATAAAATTTTTGTTGGTTTTAGCGTGAGTTGCCCAAAAAAAAAAAAAATTGTTTGAGGGTTGAGAATTGATTTGGCCGATAGATACATTTTCTATTTTATTAGGATTTGTTTCTTTTATTTTCGTGAACTGTGGGGGGTTGTTTTATTTTATTTTGCTTGAGGGTGTAGGGACTTTGGCTAGGGAGGAGTTGTTTTAAAGGATTTAGATATTTTTATAATTTTGGTTAGAAGGGTTGTGTGAGTCGGGAAGCTTAATTGGTGGCTGGTTTATTTTTTTTGGATTTTTATTATTAGTTTGGAAATTGCTAGATTTATTAAAAAAAAAATGTCTTTCGAGCCATTAGACGAGATGGAGTGGAAGGCTCCGATAGAGAAGATGAAGTTAGAATGGTGGATCGACGAGGTCAATGCAGAAATTCAAGAATTGAAACGCATAGGAAAAAGAAGGTGGTTGAAGGATAAAAAATGCGATAAGTTGGACAAGTTGCGTAAAGAGCGAGCTAAGTACCGGGCGAGGTTACGCAAACTCGTGTCACATACGGAGGAGTTCGTTGAAAAAGAGCCCCTATTTGTGTTCGATCCGTCGGGCTACATTAAAGACATGGTCGTCGAGATCGTGGTCGAGCCGGTCGAGTACGAGGATCCACCTTCACTCGGTGACGGGTTCGTGAACGAGGAAGTTGCGATCGACTACTTAGGTCCATATATTTCCGATGCATACCACGATGATAAACTCATGGACGTCGAAGAGGCCGCGATAGCCGAGGACAGAGAAGAGACTTTGGTCGAGTCCAAAGAAGCCGAATTCGTCGAAGGCAAGAAGGAGATTTTGGTCGTGGTCAAAGAAGGCCATGATGAAGGAACGCACATGGAGGACGATGCGGATAAAGAGGTGGAGACGCCCCAAGTGATGGTCATTGGCGAGTCCTTGAGGACAAGGACTCATTCGAAGGGGGGAGGAATGATGCGGAAGTGGCTTTCGAGGGCCGAGGATGCCAAGAGCCGATGGCCAGGACGGTTCGAGAAGGCCGAGAAAAGGGCCAAAACCACGTATGCATGGCCTAAGAGA